ATAAAGTATATTTTTTGGCACGGATGGTGTCTCTTGTTTTTGGATTTTCTGTTTCATGTTTTCGTCTACGAATCTTGGTGGGTAACCGTTTTGCATGAAGGTTTCTTTCAGAAAGTGTAGCTCTTCTTCCAGGGTATCAAAGCTGCAAATGCGTCGGACACGAGTGGCAAGAGATCTAATTAGGTTTATTTTCCGACTGATTGGTACCCAGCTGTAGAAGCTTATCAGGTGGCCGTTCCATGTGGGTTTTTCTATGGATGGACCTTCTTAAAGTTCCGTCAGCTCTCCTTGTAAGTTCAACATCAAGAAAAGGGATTACAGATTGGTTTTCATTTTCAAGTGTGAACGTTGTAGCTGAATGGCATTTGTTGAATATTTGTAGTAACTGACTGAGATCGTGAGAGTCCTAACAGATGATAATAAAGATGTCATCCAAATATCTAACATGCAATTGGAAATTATCAATAGTTAATTTGAGTGAGCCGTTCTCGAGGCTTGCCATGCAGCAGTCTGGAAGCAGCAATGGGCCCAGTGGAGATCCCGTTGCGATCCCATCTTGTTGTCTGTAAATAACATCGTTGAATGGGATTTGTACATTGAGTGTACATCTCATTAGTAGTTCTTTTAAACAAGTCATCGGTAATCCGACTACCCTCTTATATCAACATTCAATTCATCTGAACTTACTAATTGTATTTTTGTTTGACAAATTTAATGAACACACATACACACATACAAAACAACCATATACAATATTTGTGATTGTACAGCTATGAAAATAATTTCGCCGCCAAAAAGAGACTCTTCGATGAACTACTGGTCTTCATGATGAAATCGTCCAATCGATATAACAAAAATTCCCTAGAAAATCGATTCTTAAAAATTTCATAATAAATCCCGGTTGTTGTCTTTTACAATTGTTTGACAGTGTTCCTGACTGTTTAAATTTATCAGTGGATTTCGTGTTAGTCAAGTTCATTTTATAGGGTATGTATATTCGATACTTTTTTGCATTTAGCAGTCTATCGCCTATCCTTGTTAAGTGTTCCCGATTAGAGTAGTTTCCCTTGCGCTTTAATTTCCTCTCACTTGTGACCCCTCCTTTGAATCGAATCTATCGCTTATATCAAGACGTTTTCAAGTATTGGTTTTGTAGGGATTTTGTTTGACTGCGTGGAGGATTTCATCATGTTAGAAAACTACTGGAAAACCAGCTAAGAGTACTGGACAGCTGTTTCCTCGGCCTGGTATGGGACTCTTCATCAGTACGTACCCACCTTGAGGGGTTCGAAACCACGACCTTCTGGTTACAAGGTGAGCTCGTAAACCATTCAGCTACTGGAAGTCGATCCAATGATCCTTGAATTCTAACTTCTCTCAATTCAACATATAGCCCAACCATTTCGCAATGTCTTCTTCGATGAGTTACTGCCTCATCTTCAACCTGCAATATCATACTGTTATTGTAATGACTCAAGCCAACTCGTTGTTGTCTGAACACTGGGAACCAATCTATGTATTCGGCTGTATAGATAAGGGATGAACATTCACAAAAGGCTCCAAAGACAGCAAAACCATGATGACTCACTACTGGAATCTGTGGAATCTGTTCAGCAAGTAAGTAGTAACTTCAAAAACTCAAAATAACCTCAGCAGTCCCGTTAGACAGATATACAGATAAGATAACTTCCTGAGTACAAATCAAGGGTTTAAAAACAGGTAGAATAATCCCAGTAAGGTGGAATCAAATCTGCAGACAGTCGAAGGAAGAATGAGCTTCATTTAACTCAAATGAAATCCCAGTCTTATAACAACGCATTACCAATGCCATCATCACACAGACATTAAAGAGAAGCATTCGAAATTAGAGATTAAACAGGCAGGGACAAAGACAAATAATAAGAATTATGACAAGGCAATAAAAAGACGTAATTTGTATGAATCGTGTAATGTCGTATTCGCACGACACATTTCGAACAATCAGATCTCACACACAAACTTGTCATAGGACTGTATATATATGAGCTTATTCAAGTAGACAAACGCAGTCTTCTGATTGGTTGTTTTCGAGTTCCTCGTAAAATGGAGCCATCTATCTGCGAATCATATTTGCCCACGCATAAGTCTGCTGTGATTGGTTGTTGAATCAGCCTTGTTCATATATTTTCTCACGGCCAATATCAGTGACCTAGACATTGATGTAGATTAATGTCGACCAATTGGCTAGCAGGCTGCTCTCACCACAAGGCTACTTAGGTCAATTTAAAAGGACAAATTGAAGGTTAAAGTAACAATGAAGATCACTAAACCAAATAACAGAGGTAATAGTACATCTACCCTGGCTAGTATCAAAACAAAGTTTACCAAAGAAGGTTAAGTGTGATAACGAGCTACTTTCGATGAACGCATGTAGGTGGTTTCAACTTTCTAATTGCCAGTTAGGGATTCCACAAGCTTAATGATACGCCCCAAACACGTTTTACAGATCGGTTTAAAAAACATGTAAACATAAGTGTTATATTTAATTGAATTTTAAATTTTCCCATCGATTGATTGATTGGACCGAAGTGTTTGGTCTCAGGTTGACATGTCAGCTTATTGTGGGAATTCTTCAACGATGTCTGGGGCAAGCAATGAGAGGTTAATTGGTGGATGGTGACTAGCAGTGGAATCAAGCTAGGATGCTGATGACTTTCATCAACAGCTACTGACTTCTCACACTCCATAATGAAAATCAGATAGGCGTCAAAAGAAATTCGCAACAAGCAACTCTTGGAACGAACCAATGTTGAAGGAAATGCAGGTGGATTTGACACTCGCTGCAGAGAGCATAGATGACATCGTAAGCTACACCATTACCAGGGTGGAACTTTAATTGGAAACGACAAGTTTAGCTTCAATTTGGGAGTGACATAAGGGGGAGATCATGTGATGTGCAGGAGGTTGAGAGAGAGACTATGGGAAATTGTGAAGTCTGCTAAAGAGGATCATAGGGAACAGGAAAAGTGAAGATGTGCTGTCGAAGATCTATGCTTTATTCGGAATCCAAGGGGAACAATAGTGTGACTCCATTATGGGTAAAATTTGTTTTCATAAAGCCTCACAGCGTGTTGTGCAGTAATATTTACTGATGACGTTTCGAGCACAAACTATTCACGCTCATAATCATATCAAGGCACTATTCATACAGCTTTCTAACTTCATTTATATAATTCCATTATTCTCCATCGCTTGATTTGATGATTGGTTGTAGTATTTTCCATATTTCCGGTATGAGTGATGAGTTATCCCTCTTGCATTTGTTGGATGTGGACTCGATGGACAAGGATTCAGTAATCAACCTCTCTCGCTCTCCACCTACGTAGATTACTTTTTAGGATTTTAACCTCCCACCCACCACATTATGTGGCTGTGTGTTAATGCATGCATTGCAATTACTGAGCTTTTTTCCAAATTACTTATCTTCTCGGAGTCAACCATTCTTACCTTAGCTAAATTCTTATGTTTCGACAATCTGACTATCCCTGACCTACTATTTTGACCCGTGTAGTTGACCTCACAGTAACTGCAGGGTTTATTGTAAATTATATTATTTTGTTTAATTGAGTCCACCGCATCCTTTAACCTACAGAGCTTGTCGCTGAGTGAGTTTGCAGTTTTAAATGCCACCCTAATTCCTGCTTTAATAAGAATCTTACGTAGGGTCTCAGATGTCCCCACCTTATATGGTATAACAGTAGATGCCTAATGTTCTCTTTTGTTTATGTTATCATTACTAGTTGCACAATTATTTTTATTTTGCTTTTGGTCTTTACTGATCTTCCTAATGAATTTTATAGGATAGTTATTCAACACCAACGCTTCTTCTATGCGTTTTGTTTTGTCATTTAGGTCTATTCTTGTACTACTCAGTGCTATGGCTCGGTTTGCTAGACACTTAACTAAGCCGCCCGCCATAGCAGATAACAGATGAGATGAATCAAAGTCTAAATATCTATTAGAATATGTTGGTTTTTTATAAACACTAGTGTTCATTTTACCTTCTTCTATTCGTTTTATTAGAACAATAGAACTTTGAACAATAGTGTGTCTTTAATTGGTGGATGGTGACTACCAGTGGAACCAAGCCAGAATGCGTATTTCATCCTATTTGGGACTCGTCAGCCACTAGATGCACCTAAATTCCTCAGTGAGTGATGATGCTCCCACCGAGGCTCGAAGCCAGTGCCCATAGTTTCAAACGCCAGAGCGTTATCCACTAGACCACTTGGGCCACGAGAGACCGAGCACTTCGATCCAGTTAATCGGCGGAAAAATCAAAAATGCAATTAAAGTAACATGACCCATTGCACAAGAGGTGACTCTCGTATAAGTGGATAACGCTTTGGCATTTGAAACTATAGGCACTGGGTTTGAGCCTTGGTGTGAACATCAACACCCACTGGGAAATGCAGGTACATCCAGCCAGCTTACAAGTCCCAAATAGGACGAAATGCGCATCCTGGCTTGATTCCACTGCTAGTCACCATCCACAGATTAAATTCTAATTAAATGTCCGGACATCGTCGAAGCATCTGCACAAGAAGCCAACAGACACGTCAACCTGAGACCAAGCATTTCGGTCCAATCAATCAATGGACGGGAAAATCTAAAATTCAATTAAAATAGTGTGTCTTGTCACCGATAATTTGATTCATATTGTAAGCAGATTGCAATTGGAATTTTCTAAAATATTTTTTTATTATATCTTGATTCCACACTGTAATATTTGGTACAAGTAGGGAATTTTTAGCATGTGATATTAGTAGCCCAAGTTTCTCAGGCCGACCATAGATATCAGGTATGCGTCGGCGTGGACTCGAACCTCGGAACATGTGCATGGTCGGCGAGAGTCCTAACCACTATGCCACCGACGCACAGTGTCCATTATTATTATTATTATTATTATTATTATTATTATTATCGCCTCTTATTTATACTAACCCAATTTTCCTTTACAGTTTCAGTAAACTTTTAGAGCTAAAACAAGAAGCCGAGCAGAAACAATTACATCTTTCACAGATATTAGAAACAGAACTACGCGCTAAATGGCACTATGTAAAACAAATTGAAGAATTGACAGCTGAAATCAAACAGCTAAAATATGAGGCAAGTTTAAATTTTTTTTACTTTTTTATCTTGTTGTTTATCTGCATGATTTCTGTACATCTCATTTGATGCAGTCGGCTGCTTATCATATCATTTCATAATCCACTCATAGTTCTGATTCCATTCCTTTTATTAATATCTCTAGAATTCTTCAATCAAAATTTATGTGTACCCCATAGAAGGGGTCTTGTTAATCTTGTGAATAATTTAGACTGTGATAAATGTATGTCGACGGCAATAGCTGTCTGTAACAGCTCCATTCATCTGTGTGAACAGTTGTTTCAGGTATATTATTATTGGTCACAACTTCTCACTAGAACTCCTGGAAACTCCATTCTGTAGCAAGGCACTAGAGAGCATCAGAATAATTTTTCTATAGTTTGGTTTGTAAGGGTTAGTATTTTTGTTTTTACGAGTTGATCACGGATTGATATCAGATAGAGAACCACTGGAAACCAGGGATTACTGGACAGCTGCTCTTTCATCCTGGTTTTAGAATCATCGGCACCGCTCACCCACTGGGGTTCTAGCTGATATGTATCCACATGATGTGTGTGTTTTGTTTTTGACAGTCTGTTATATTTCGCTATGTGTATATGGATCGATATTTCATTATTGCTGACAATATGCTTTTGTCTGTCCACTAACTAAATAAACATGTATGACCTTGTTATCATATGACATTACAACCAATCATGGTAAGACGTTATCTTATTGGTTAATGTGTATTAACCATTTATATATATATATATATATATATATATATGCATTGTACATTATTCTGGTTCACACATTCGTACACTAAGTACTAATTCACTCACACACTAGTGTGACATTTATTTTCCTTGTCTGGAAAATACAAGTATCATTGTAAACCCGGTGGTCTTGAGATTTCCTTCTTTCCCTGTCAGGACTATTAACTACTCAACGAGTACATAACATAATTGGCGACGGGGAAAACTCTAATAACTCACTCAGCAGCAGTAATTAACACGAACCCAATGGCTGAATGGTATACGAGCTTGCCTTTTAACCAGAAGGTCCTGGATTAGAACCTAGGGAGTGGGTGTGTACTGATGATGATTCCCCAAAACTAGGATGAAACAGCTGGCTGTCCAGTACTCCAATGCTGGTTTTCAATGGTTCTCTAGTTGATTTGAATCCATGATCAACCTGTAAAAACAAATCTAACCCTTACAAACCAAACTATATTATTATAACATCCCAGTTTTGTTGTATTCCTCATGATTGCCCCTATGTCCTCAATTCCTCTTCCTCAAATAATTCCCTCCGTGTAGCCATCAGATAAAAATCCCAACCCGTCGTTTACCATCTGAGTTCCACTCGATCAATAGCCTGGCATGCTATGTCACTCGACAGTCTCTTCAGCGTGTGTCCGACTCACCTACATTTTTTTCGGTATATTCCATTGTTGAGAAAGAGGTTCTTGACTGGTTCGATCTCACAGTTTCTTGCTGACACTTCTTTCTGACAAGCCATCTTATCTTCATTATGAACCTAGTGATAGCAGCTGCTGACAGAAGTCCACAATGAGCTGTTAAAAATGCCTTTCGTGAAGTGAAGTCCATGTTTCTGACCTAGATAGAAGGACTGACTGACTGACTGACTTAACATTGACGTTGAAAATCAATTTTTTATTGTTTATGCTGTAAAGTGCATTGTATTCCTATACTGATTTCGGAGTGGTGAAAGCCTGCCCTGCTTTTTCAAATCTTTGTTTTGACATCCTTATCCGCTGCATAGCTAGGTAAGTGATGAGAGTGACTTCTTCTTTCGAATTACTCCCAGTTTCAGTGATGGGGGTTTGTTGTTATTTATTTTTTCTATCTTCAATACCTCCGTTTTCTCTGAGTGCGCTTGGTATCCCGTCTTTTATGCTTCTTCTTCTTCTTCTGGGTTCGAGTAAAGGTTAGATTATTGGCATTAAGAAACCTGGATGACAATTAGGGTATCCCTCTTTTAAATTTGCATTGCATAAAGTCATAATATTCCTGAAGGCAATCAAGATGCTAAAAGCTGGAAAAGCAGCAGGATAAGATGGAATCCCAGCAGAAGCATTGATGACGCCACTACTGGAAAAGGTGTGGCGGTAAGGTGGTGCGGTAACAGAGGATTGGAAGAAACGATACTTATTCAAACTGCCAAAGAAAGGAGACTTACGTCAATGCAAGAACTGCCATGGAATCATGCTCCTGTTCATCCCAGGCAAAATACCAAGCCATATCATCCCGGAGAGAATCAAACACGCCACCTTGGATGAAAACTTTGACAGGAACAGGCTGGACTCAGGAGAAACAAGTTATGTATTGACCAAACCGCAGCACTACAGATCATCATTGAACAGAGCTAAGAATAGCAGTCAGCTCTCTATCGCAAATTCATGGACTTCAAAAAGGTATTCGATAGAGTGGATGGAGAGGTGACTTGACAACTACTTCGCTATTACAGGGTGCCGCCGAAATTTATATATCTCATCAAACAATTGTACGACAATGCTGCATGCCAAGTAATCCACAACGGAAAACTTACGGAGTACTTCGAAGTGAGGATGGGAGTAAGACAAGCTGGCTGGCTGCCTACTATCTCTAATGATTCTCCTGATCACAGTAGACTGGATAATGCGACAGAAAGACAACGGACAACTAAGAGACAGGCATAAAATTGGCCCACACAAAATAACTGAAGGATCTGGAATTCGCCGATTATATATGTCTGATTTCCCACAAACTGGAAGATATGCAATTGAAAAGCAACAAGTTGGCAGAAGAGGTGTTCAAGATAGGTTAAAGAGGTGAACATAGAGAAAACAGATGTGGTGATAAAGACTCCTGACGAACAACAACAGCAATAAAGACAGACAACAATCAGCCCACCTGGGAAGCATTGTTTCAACTACAGGTGCACGGAACTGATGAGAATATCAAAGCATGAGGATCGAGAAAGCAAGGCAAGCTTTCACTACTCTCAATTCTGTGTGGAGGTCAACAGCACTCACCATCAAAAATAAGATCTGGATTTTCAACTACAATGTGAATTCAGTCAGTGCTACTATACGGATCAGAGACTTGGCCAGCGCGTCATAAAGAGCACCTCAAACAAACTACAGACCTTCATCGATCAACAGCTGTCTTCGCTCAATACTACTCAAGATCAGATGGCCGCCCAGAAAAGAACAGCAACAGGGATCTCTGGCAATGAGCGAACCAACCAGGAACCGATTTTGCAACAAATAAGTAGGAAGAAATGGAGGTGGATTGGCCATACTCTGAGAAAACCATCAAGTGACATCACTTGACAAGCCACTGCTCGAGTGGGATCAGGCCGAATGGGCAGCGGCGAGTTGGCGGTCATAGCAAGGGTGACTTGGAGGAGGCCATGTGAAGAGAAGATGAAAACATGTGGACAGACTTGAAGCCAGGTGAAAACTCTAGCAGAGAACCGAACGCAATGGATACGTTCAGCTGAAGCCGTATGTTCCTCTAGGAGTTAAAGGAAATAATAATAAATAAATTAAGGAAAGTGATAAATATAAATCATCTAAGAATATTTATGAGCGCTGAATCCAAAGGTGATACCGCACCTGAGATCCTGAAGAATCGCTTATGCAGATCACTGAGGAAAGCCTTCTTTATGGCTGAGCTACGTATCAATTTCCACAACCGAAAAATGATCATTGGATGTGTGAAGGAGAAACTGCCGCTTTGGATAGGCTACCTCAATGTGTGTTTATAAATTCATCTGCTCGTGTGGAAATAGTTATGCTGACCGCACAAAGAGCACGCTGTTCAAACGCATCTCTGAACATCATCCGGGATGATAAGCAAAGCGACAACACAAGATGATTACTTCCTCAATTCTGTAGCATTTGGTGAACTCAGGCCACGTACCTCCACCTGAGTCGTCTTTCAATATCATCTACAAGGTGAGGCCTTATAATCGGAAGGCCCTGGGTTCGAACCCTGATAGGTGGATGCGTACTACTGATGATTCCCAAACGAGGCTGATGAAACAGCTGACTGTCCATGCTGGTTTTCAATGGTTCTCTAACTGATGTCAATCCGTGCGTGGTCAAACTTGTAAAAGCAAATCTAATCTGGAAGTATTGGACAGCTGTTTCGTCTTAGTCTGGCACTCTTTATCAGTTCGCGGGTTCGAACCCCGGTGGGTGCGTACTGTGAAGAGTCTCAAACTAGGACGAAACAGCTGTCCAGTACTTACAGATTAGATTTGCTTTTACAAGTTTGACCACGCACAGATTGACATCAGTTAGACAACTATTGAAAACCAACAAGAGAGCACTGGATAGCCAGTTGTTTCATCAGCCTAGTTTGGAAATCATCGGCAGTACGCATCCAACTATCAGGGTTCAAAATAAGGGTCTTCCGGTTACAAGGCCAGCAAATGTGTATACCATTTAGCCAATGGGACCCTATTCAATAAGTCATGAATCCTACTAATTCGTGATCTAGCGCCACCCTGACTAAACTAGGATGGGGAAATAGCTGGCTGTCCAGTACTCCATGCTATGCTGGTTTTCAATGGTTCTCTATCTGATAACAATCCGTGATCAACTCGTAAAAATAGTCGCTTTATTCGAGCCAATAAAGTTATTAACAAAGAGAGTTGGAAGTTTACAGAGTTTCTAAGCAGTTGAATAAGGGCATTTAAGAAGAAGACAAATTTCGCTGGATGGTATCGTCATTTCGTAGTTTCTTTACAACCACTTTACAACTAACGTAGTTCACAATATGATAGAGAAGATTTGTTGCTCAAGTGGATGATTTTGATGTGGTTGTGTTCTCTGAGCTGGATAGTTAATTTGTGAAGCTTTCATTGCCCGTCCTACTAGGCGAAATCTTCAGTGCATACACTTCAATTTGGTGAATTGAGCTTTTAGATTTCTCCACGAGTTATTAGACACAGGAAACACCAAGAATGCTAGAGAATTTTTAGAAGCCTGCCTGGTATTCCAGTGAATCATCAATCAATAGATACATCGAGATAGAAAAAATTTACCAACCGATAAGAAAGGAACCTCACACATACAAGGGTCGAAGTTCAAATGAAAGAAACAATCAGTTCCTCCAATACAAGTAGCTGCCTAGAAGTTGTGAAAACACACAGAAACAACCACTCACTTTCTAGGTGATCCACCAGGAGAGAGAGATGACTAATAAACTCGTGGAGAAATCTAGAAGTTCACTTCAATTGAAACTGAAGTATTTGCTGAAGATATCGCTTAGTAGGACGGGCAATGAAAGCTTCGCAAATTAACTATCCAGCTCAGAGGACATAACCACATCAAAATTATCAACGTGAGCTACAAATCTTCTCTATCATATCTAAATCGTGAATTTGATTTGCCAGTTGCCAACTGGATAGAAGTTATTATCACTTTTGACAATTAACCATTCAGGAGGGAGGTTTAAACTGATTTGGTGGTCTAATCTGAATCAAACTGGCTGCATCGTTGATAATCTCGGCTCTAAATAAGACGAACATTCGTTTTGGTATTTAGACCACCATTAATTGGTGTGATTGGCGTTCAACTACTTATATTAATTAATCAGTAGTATAAAAAACTTAGCAGCAATTCAAGACGAAATGTTACATCTGAGTTTCAAGAATCTAGGCAATATATGAAAAGCAGATGTATGGTGATGGAGTAAATCCTCATGACATCATTTTCAATTTGCCATGACTCTTGCTGGGTTCTGTTTGACTAAGTCAATATAAGAATTCCATCTACAAAGTACCTGGGAATCAATTACAGTATTCTCAACAAGATGGGATCAAAAATCTGTTCAAAAGAATCATACACCAAAAACAATCATGGAGGATAGTCTAAGGTTACAGACTGCCAACATATTGCCAATATCATCATCTCACAGTCACAAAAAGAAGCAATAAAATTAACGATTAGACTGAGGCAGGAGATAAATGATAAGGGCGAAGTCAAAATATGATATACAGTCTAGGAGATGAAAAGATAATCGTTACACAGTTAGCTGAAACATCCAAACAAGTTTGAGCAGTGCAAATACATCGTTTTGGATGGAAGTGTTGCAATTTGCCAGTTGCTTTGTTTGGCCTGATAAAAACAACTGACTCCTTTTTTTCAATGAATTTTTAATTAAGTTCTTCCATAATTCATATGAACGGTGATCAAGATTTGACCGAAAACAGTTGGAAAACAGTTGGGCGCCGAATGAGAAGTAGACATTTATAAAAGTTAAATTTTTTAAAATCTCAGCGAGATTGAATTTGAGTAATTTCAGCGTTTTATTAGACAAACTGGTCCAAACTTTTTCAGGGAAATTAATCGAAATTAACATAACAGTGGTTTTGTGTATAAAAGGAACATCTCTTGTTTTTAAAAACTTTGTCCAGTCATATGAGTCAAAAAACAGATATCAACATGTATAATAGACAGAATTGTATGAGCTAAGATCAAAATTTGACCTCAAACTTACAGAATATGAAAATATATGCGTTTATGCAGTATACATTGATGAGTTTGGGTGAACAGTTGTAAAACATTTGTTAGCCTGTCCATAAGAAGATATACACAATCAGCAATTTAGACCAAGTATGATTAGTTAGTGATACATATCCATTTTTTTTATTTATGAATCAGGATTTACCGACAGACGTGAAGGTGTGATGTTAGCTGTTATAGTAATTTCGATTAATTTCCCTGAAGAAGTTCGGGCCAGATTGCCTAACTGAACGCTGGAATTACTCATTTCAATTTCGCTAAGACTTTACACAAATGTAATCTTTTATATAAGTTCTTCATAACAAATGATTTTTATTATTATTATTACTACTATTATTATAGTTTAACGAATTTCGTATTGACCGCCGATTCAATCTGGAGTTCGAAAATGAATCAGAAGAGTTGAAAAAAATCAAAAAGGTTTGTTCATTTATTATGCCTACAGTGTTAAATATGAATAATTTCAAGTTGATTGTTGGATGGTGACTACCAGTGGAATCAAACCAAGATGAGCATTTCGTCCTATTTGGGACTCGTCAGCCACCAGATGTATTTGCATTCCCCAGTGACTGATGATGTTCCCACCGAGGCTCGAACCCAGTGCCCATAGTTTCAAACGCCAAAGCGTTATCCATAAGACCACTTGGACCACAAGAGCCACATCTTGTGCAACGGGTCATATATTAATTATTTGATTGAATTTTAGATTTTTCCGTCGATTGAGCGGTCCGAAGTGCTCAGTCTCAGGTTGACATGTCGGCTTCGACGATGTCTGAGCATGTAATTAGAAGCTTATTTGTGAATGGTGACTGGCAGTGGAATCCAGGATATAGCGCATTTTGTCCCATTTAAGACTCGTCGTCCGGATGTTAAAAAGGAATACTTATACTTCATTAGCTCAATGATTTACAATGATTTAACTTTTAAACAAAATGGTTCAAGATTTGAATACTCCTCAGTCTGTGTTTTTCCTGTCTCAAATGTACAATATGTGCACAGATGGAAGGGGGAAGCATAGTGAATTTCCATCACAATCTCTTTTAGAAACCGAAATTCTACAGATCACCACTATATGTGATTTGCTTGATCCCGTCGTACATCGTAATCCAGAGAGCAAATATATATTTGTACTACTGATTGTTTGGGATCAGTAGTTCTAAATCAATCACTTTGACTTGTCATATCATGTACATTGCAAATAACCAGCCAATTTGTGAATTTGGAATATGATTAATGTTAACACCAGTTTATCTATGTAGCTAACCAGAAATTAGGTGGTTTTGGCTCTCTGAGGTGAGTCGCGACGGGCAAACAGTGTTGGTGATCTTAGCCCTAAATGAGCTAGCCAGCCGTCCTGTGGTGTTCACATCACCTGGATGGCTGGCAAGAATTATTAGTTGAGACTAGTGCTGCGCAACTACTCTCGTCAATCAATGAGTAGTATCGATTTTTGTGTTTATATGATTGCTTTCTTCTATCTTTTGAAGCTGTTAAAAACAACTAGATGCGTCTTTTTATCAGTACTAAAATCCTTAATTCTTTTACATTTTAAAGCTAATCGTCTAGTTGCAAATTTCTATTCGTACGTAATAGAAAGGGAGCAAACAGCATGCAAAGTAGATTCGTCATAATTCAAGAGTAATTTGCAGCTACTTAAAAAGTTTATCAGTAGGCGAATTTTTACTTAAAAATATTTATGTGACAAGCAGTAAATAATCACGAAAATGATTACCAATAGATCTCAGTTGTCTTGGCGCCAGACTGACTAACTTGATTCGTACTGGTTAATTTTAACTGCAAAACTTTTAAAGGATTATGGGCAGATTAACCACAGACAGTAAGCACCATTAGTAAGAGATAGAGAGGAAGATAATACACACTAATGTATAACACTAAACTGATTGAATATATCAAATAAAAATAAGGGAAGCAATGCAGAATTTATGAATTCAAATGTTTGACAGCAGACCAGGCGATCAGTAGAAGTGGCTAGTCAGGCCTGCTTCTTTTGCACACAGAGCACTTGTTGATTTGAACGATTTGCAATGCCATTTGATTTTTGAAGTGTAGAACTATTGATAGTTTTAACTACACATTTATTTAGCTACACAAAGAGGAATATACTCCTGAATTCAAAAAATTAAGTTCCTAGAGGAACATAGAGCTTCAGACGCATGTTTCCGTTGCGCACGGTTCTCTGTGAACGTCTTCACCTGGCTCCACGTTTGCGCACATGTCTTCGTTTCCTCTTCTCGTGACCTGCTCCGTATCACCCTCTCACTGACTGACCTGCCGCTCACCATTCGGGTTCCACTCCAGCAATGACCTGGCGTGAGATGTCACTCACTTGATGGTTTGCTTTCTCAGAGTTTAGCCAATCCACCTCCATTTCTAACCGGAACGTTTCTCGCACAATCGGTTCCTGCTGAGTTGGTTCACTCCCAGAGATCCTTGTTCCTCATGTTTTCTGTCCGACCATCTGATTTTATGTAGTGTTAAGCGAAGATAGTTGTTGATGAAGGTCTGTAGTTTGTGTGAGGTGCTCTTTACGACACACAAAGTCTCTGATCCGTATAGCAAGTAGCACTGACTTCATATTGGAGTTGAAACTCTGGATCTGATGATCTCCACACAGACTTGACAGTAATGAATGCTTGCCTTGCCTTTCCGATGATCCTCGCTGCTTTGATATCCTCATCAGTTCCGTCCACCTGTATTCGAAACGATGCTTCTCAGGCCAGTATGTAAAGGAGGTTGTTTCTTCCAGGTTTCTTTGGATCGTGCTAATTGTTGTCTGTTGTTGTTGTTGTTGCTGTTGCTGTTGGCCAGGAATCTTCATCACCTACCTCTGTTTTCTCTATGTTCACCTGAAGTCCTATCTTTGCTGCTCGTCGGAAGGTTTGTGTCCACTAGTGGTTCTGCTTCTGATGTTGGGCGCGTTGCAGGTGCCAGTGGATTTAGAAGTCTTTTGAAGTGTTCAGCCCAGCGTTTTCTTTTTCTCCACCTCCTTGGTAACTGACTTTCCATTGTCATCCTTCACTGTCTTGGTTCGTGTTGAACTTTTCTCCGATAGGAACCTAGTTGTCTGGTAGAGTTGAAATAATAAATACACAAAGAAATGGCAGCTAGCCTAGATATTGCATATTTTAGATGAATAACCACAATCGGCGGTTTGGAAAATATAAGCTTCAACATCTTGGTATTAAAAACAGTATATTTGGGTGGATAGAAAGTTCAGGTAACCTAGTGATTTCAGGAGGATACCAAGAAATTTCTTCTTACTCTACTACGACATAATTTGCTTCAGTGACTTACAAGGCTGAGTGCTCACCAACTACACACATATGATCTGAGTTCCATTGCTAGCCGACACACTCCTTGCCCTACCAGAGATAAGCATAGAAAAGATAGAAGGTTAGACAGGGGACTAATAGCTCCATTGTGTCATAGAACAGCGACGTTTTTTTTTCATAATAATTTGCTTTATTCCCAAAACAGTATTTGTGATACAGAATGGAATTCTCAACATTTTACTACAGTATTGCGCATCCAGTTAGTATATTAACAATAAATAAAATTCTACATAGATTATGGGTAATCTCAGTTGGTTATGACAACAACATATTTGCATGTTGGTAGCAAAGCCGAAACTGAACAGAGTGTTTGAAGGTGTTAGAAAAGTAGATGCTACTAACATATTTACTGGGGTAAGCAGAAGAAAGAAACAAAGCTGCACATCACACAAAAAAGAGGGAGAGAAAGGGAAAAGAAAGAAAGAAAACGTTGTACCTATAAATGATGATATGAGTTGGAAAGACGAGATCCAGTTGTTCTACTGACTATTTAATAAGTTAAAGGTTTCACGCCTAATGCATTTTTTATCGCACAGAACACGACCTAAGTAGGGTATGGTTGAGTTTTCGTACTTACTTGTGTCAGCATATAGTTTTCTACATAGGTAGGCTTCTGGTTTTCCCTGAAGAGATACATGGGGAGAGTTGTGAGTCAGATAAAATGGATTTTGCCCATTTTTCACATGAGTCCATGTGCCTGTTGACCAGAATATTAACAAGCTGGTTAAATGGCACGTTGCTTACCCTGCTGACAACGTTCAACATCCTGCGCAACAAGGTATAGTCCTTCTACAGTAGCCAGCCCTGTAAAAACTAAAGGGGAACAATAGAGAATAATAGGCAGAATGCCAGAGTTAAGGAATCGTAGGAGTAAGGGTTGGGTTATACCAGAATGTCTTAACTTCTTGATGTAGAAGGTAAGACGGAATATTTTCTTAGAAATCATCAAGATATGAGATGACCAGGAAGGAAAGATCAGCAGATGGAATGACGCCAAGACATTTAATTTCTGACTTGGTTTCTACTTCATTGCCATCTATGTTGCACACCTCGTGAGTGCTAACCAGTTTGTTTAGATCAGTCAGATTTATGCATAAAAGTGAAATTGACTGTTTGGCATTTAGAGGGATTTCAGGTTAGACAGTTTTCCTTGGACCATTGGCTGATTTCCGATAAAAAGCCATTTAGTTAAGAGCAGTCACTTTGACATTTGACAGGTAAAGATACAGCCAGATCTTCAGCATATTTAACAAAATTAATATCATTTGAAGATGGTAAGTCATGTAGAAAGAAAGAAAATAGAATTTGGGAGAGTACAGCACCTTGGGGGACACCAGCTTCAGTGAGCACAGCAGAGGAGGATTTACCTTTGTATACAGTGTACTGCATTCTGTCTAAGAAGTAGGAATGCAACTAGTTAGTGACCCAGGACTCAGTTTGTGTCTCCGACAGTCTATTTAGCAAAAAACATCTAGGTACAGAGTCGAAAGCAGACGTGGAAGTCAAGTAACGTGCAGCTACTGAAACTTCAAATGACGAAGCTTGGAGCCTTATTTTTCCCTTGGAGATTAAACCAATGACATAAGGCAGGGTATATTCTAATTTTAAATAAATCACTTTTTCTCTCGTTCCCTTAATTTAGGTCCAGTCATTTTTTCGTGGTTGGTTATGTCGTCGTCGATGGAAGCATATCGTTGAAGAGTATATCCGATCTGAGCATGCAGAATCAATGCGTAAACGTAACAGTATTGTCTTTGGTCTTGTTGAATGTGAAGATGAATATGTTCAACAATTATCCATTCTAGTTACATGTTATCTAAGACCATTTCGTATGGCAGCCAGCTCTAAAAAACCAATTGTTACGCATGAAGATGTGAATTCAATATTTTTAAATGCGTAAGTTAGCTCATTAAAACAAAATATGCATTTATATATGTATTAAAAGATTGATAATTGAACATCTTAGGTAATTTATTATAATTTAGTTGCTTTCTTTGAAAAGCTGGTTGGTTTAGTTGCGATATCTTCATTCAATGCAGATTCTAGTGTGAACTGAACGAATTGAAATTCTTCATGAATGATTATACAACTGTACTCCCTAACAGCCGCCTTAGTTGTGATCTGTTATCAATTTATACCTCTATTTATTCTTTTTGAAGACAGTTAGTACATAGATCTATTCCATTCCCTTTAACATTGGAGTGTTACAGTGTATATTTGGACTCTTTTTAACGATGATTGCACACAGTTTCCTTTGTAAGTCATTGGGTAACTGCTTTTATAGTTACGTATTTGGTCTATGTGTGTTGATTATTTGTAAAATTGTGTTTCTAAGTTTCCTGTGTTAGTTCTGTTGATTGAGTAAGACATCTAAGAATGGAATTTTATCGTCTAATTCTTCTTCTGCTATCGTGAATTTAATGTCTTCAGATATATTTTTTTTCTTTCCTTCATGTTCCCAGTGGAATATAAGGCCTCAGGCTAGTAGCTTGAAGTTTCTGTAGCAGTGGTGTTTAATTTTACAGGATTAGGTTGCCAACCTCATGCCCAACCTTTCCCTTTTTACCAGCATTAATTTTGGCTTGGCGAAGTAAAAGGAATGCTTCGTCGGCCGGGGATCAAACCCCGGACCATGTGCATGATTGGCGAAAGGCCTTAACCGCTGTAGCACCATCAACGCACAGATATGTTGTTTATTAATTCGCGAGTGTTATCCAAATCACATTTCCTTTAACTATTACACATATATCATCAACATAAGGTTGATTTTGTCTAGATGTGGGACAGTGAAAGCTGATCACAATTAAATCAACCAGTGGATTAGAGAACTCAACTAATCAATCAGAATCATCCATTAAGCTACAAATCTTCATCATTTTTTCAATTTGTTGTCATCTTCTTAGCACTTAAGTCACATTTTTTGAATAATAAATAATTTTGTAGTGTCATTTTGTCAGAATTTCATTTATTTCATATTATATCACAAGGTGACATGGGTTAGGGTTTGGCTGAAGACGAGGCAGTTATAAGACTTTAAAATGTTCGCTAATAACTGAATTAATTTAGAAAGGAGCTCCTCCATTTTGTGAGACGTGTTGATTAATAAGCTCATTCAGGTTGGATATGATGGTATATGCTATCCAACGACATTAATTACCATTTATGCCAGGGATAGTAGTAAGTAAATTTCATGCTAGTGGACAATTAGTCAATCAGTTGGCCTCGTAACTTGATAATCCTGGATTCGAGCGCAGGTGGGTCATAGCTGCGAGCTTCTGTGGGCCATTTCAGTAGGATGAAGAAACTTTTAAGTACTCCTTGCTGTTCAGTCGTTCTCAAACTGAGGCATCATTTAGTCATCAAACTTGAAACTTCATAATGAATCTCCACTTTTACTTTTTTTAATGTATTTTTGTTGCTATCAACAGATGTTTAAGTAGTATAAAATTGTTCATAAAATTTTATTGCTTAGGTATTTTACATGTTCATGTTTAATAGCTTGAAACAGTTGCGACTTTTGGTATATGATATTTATCATCATAAAAGTTCCTTTTTTATTTCCCAATGAATGAAAAAACCAAAACGATATTGTTTCTCCTGGTGTTTTGCTATTTAATCCTGCTAATGAAACTGCTTATCACATTTGTGTTGATACTTTCACTACATGAGAAGTGGGGTGGGTGATGGCCAGGCGTGTGATGTCACTCACTTGATGGTTTTCTCAAAGTTTGGCCAATCCAATCCACTTACATTTCTTCCCGCATGTTTATCTCACACTTGGTTCCTGCTGAGTTGATTCGTTCTCCGAGGTCAATGGTGCTGACCTTTTCTGGCCGGCCATCCGGTCTTGAGTAGTATTGCGCGAAGATAACTGTTGATTGATGAAGGTCTGTAGTTTGTTCGAAGCGGCCTACGTGACGCTAAGTCTCTGATCCGTAAAGCAAGCAGCACTGACTTCATTTTGCAGTTGAAAACTCAGATCTCATTTTTCATGTTGAGTAGTGCTGTTGATCTTCATATAGATTTGAGAGATATGAAAGTTTGACTTGCTTTTCAGATCCTTGTCTTAATACCCTCATCAGTTCTGTCCGCCTGTAGTTGAAACAATGCTTCTAAGGTCAGTAGGTAAAGGAGGTCGCTTCTTTCAGATTTATCCGATTTATGCTGATTGTTGTATGTTGTTGTTGTTGTTGCTTTTGGTGTTGGCCAGGAATCTTCATCACCTCTGTTTTATCTATGTTCACCTGAATTCTAATGTTTTCTGGATGCTTCTTCTGCCAACTTGTTGCTTTTCACTTGCATATCTTCCAGTTTGCGGGAAATCAGACATGATAATATCATCACTGGCGAAATCCAGATCCTTCAAGTTTTTTGTGTGGGTCCTGTCTCCTCGTTGCTCGCTGTCTATCTGTCACATGACCCAGTCTACTACCATCAGGAAAATCATTGGAGATAGCCGGCGGCCATACTTGCTTTACTCCCTTCTTCACCTCGAAGGATTTCGTGAGTTTCCCGTTGTGGATTACTCAGCATACAACATTATCGTGCAACTGTTGGATGAGGTGTATAATTGTTGGTGGCACCCCATACTAGCGAAGTAGTTGTCAAATCACCTCTCAATCGACACTGTCTGCCGGAGGCCTTTCCAAAGTCTATTTTGTAAATTCTGATTTAATATTATTTCTCTGATAAAACTATTAGCATCATTAGATAGCGAAACATTAGCGAAATCAACATCGATTTGTTCTTCATTCATTCACTGGGAAATACAAAAAGCCTTTTATAATATAATGATTATCATATATCCAAAGGTGTAATCTTTTCAAACTGTTAGTTCTAAACTTGGTTTGGAGATGTGTAGTAAGATTTTTTGATCATGATTAAATCATAATATGGGATAATTTGTTTGCCTGTAAAAGCCTAATTGTGTGAAGACATTACTCATAATTCCTATGACAGAATGTAACTGCAGTTCTGAGTATCCTGTGTTTATAAACCGTTTCTAAGGTAATATGGACTCATGAAAAAAAGATCACGGTGAAACTCATTCATTTTTACTGATAATCTCTCAAACTGAAGATTACATTTATATATATTCTAGAGGTGAGGATAATTACTCGTCGCGAAGCGGTCGCCCAATGTTGTGCATGAATTGGCAGAAATTAGAATTCATGGACTGGCCAGTGAATAGGCTGGGTCCCCCAGTGGCTGATGAATGGTCTGCCAGCTAGCTCAAACCCCTGTGGTGGGTGGATACTGCTGAAGAGTCCTAAACCAGCCTCACGAAACAGCTAGCTGTCCAGTACTCCAGTCCTAGGTTTTCGAATAGTTCTGTAACTGATGTCAGCTCATCAAGAAATCCTCCATCCTATTCTAGAAGAATAAGATAGTGGAATGCAGGGCGTAGCGATCAAAACCTACTCTTGGTTTAAACACAGACAACTCATCTTTGCGTCCTTGTGTATAGCAGCTGTTTGAAACTTCCTTGAGACTAAAGTCCAGTCACGAAACTTTCCAAAGTCAGCAAAAAGACAATTTTTCTTCTTTGAGTCTACTTGTGGTTCTGTTCATCAAATAAAAATGTCAAGAACTCAAAAGTATCTCAACAGGCAGAGCTAGTTATAAAGGCAGTACACGTTTCTAAGCACCAAAAAGAAGTACTTTAGAATAAAATCAACCAACTGAAATTAAACTGTAAGAAGTACTTTGGAATCAAGCAGAATTTTCCTAGCAAGTTGTCAATGTCCAGGTCTAACTATACTGGACTTAACGCTGTCCTTAGAAGACCTTCAGCAACAATCTGAAATAAGCAACGCGAAAAAACAGAACACAGATTAGTGACTTGAGAATCCTTTATTCCTACACGAATATGGAACCAACCATAAGGTTATTATGCACAAAGTCTAAGAAAAAATGTCATAACAATTAATCACAATAATAATAATACTTCTCATAGTATTTCTCCGTCTTCTAATGAACCGTGTACAATGGAACGATGACTGCAGTATCGGTGACTCACGCCAAAATATGGAGTTGGTTTTGATTGAACAACCATGAACTGATCGTTCACTCCTCAACTACATTGACACAAGGCAAGATCAAAAGCTCTGTCACCAAGGTTGACGGTTAGAGAATGACCTTCATTCACTAAAACAAAATTACATCGTAAAACAATCCATTATCAATGTGATCACAGAAGCACAAATGGAAACATTCAAATTAAAGATTAAACAGGGAGGAATAATGACAAATAATAAGGATAAAGTAAAGGTATAATTTGGAAATGTCAGAATAATGATGTTCAGTCAAGGATAGAAACGGCTAATAATTAGAGAGTTACAGAACTTTATCATGAATTGACATTAGTTAGAGAACCATCGGTCACGACTTCTCACTAGAACCCCAGGTAACTACCTACCAGAATAGGGCAAGTCGCTAGTGAGCATGTCATCCACATTCAAGTGTGGATTTCTAAGGTCATGACTAGTAGGCTGCAGCAGGTCAGGTGTGAGGACATACACTCGCCGAAGACATTGGCTAATGATTTCACTATGTCTTTAATTGACAGAAAATAGAATTCATGGGCCATTGGATCGGGTCCCAGTTATCTCAATGGTTTACGAGCTCGCCTTGTAACCGGAAGGTCCCGGGTTCGAACCCTTGCGGTGGGCGCGTACTGTTGAAGAGTCCCGAACTAGGACGAAACAGCTGTCCGGTACTCCCAGGTTTTCCAATGGTTCACTAACCAATGTCAGCTCATGATGAAATTTTGTAAACAGTCAAATCTCTACAAACCAACACTTGAATTATGGAGTTAGTTGAAACATACAAATAGGTATCAATATTGCGATTAGATCGTTCATAGGAGGGATTTTGTAAACACTTCTTTCCATTAAAATCTCCTTCCTCATCCGGATAGGATGGACATGGAATCAAACTCTGGACTGCTTACCCTGGACTTTGAATGTGTAGTAAACTTTATCATCAATAATCTTGTCCTGAGTAATACACTATGCACTGGGAACTACTGGCTCCCAGGATAATGACAGTAAAATGATTGGTGACATGAATGCCAAACTGGGAATAGACAATCCAGGAAGAGAGCTGACCATGGGTCAAGAGACACTCAAAAAGTGGGTGAAAATGGGAAATCCTTCACCGAGATCTTCATCCCTTTCAATGATTTAATGATTAGAGGCAGTGTGTCCATCCACAGGAACATACACGAGGTGACATAAATTTCACCTGACAGACACACCAAAAATCAGACAGACTTCATCCCATTGTTGGTCAGGAAAGTGGAGACACAGTCTACTAGACACAAAGTCGAGAAAGAGTGCAAATATAAAGCTCAGACTACCATCTAGTTCAGAGAGCCTTCAAATTCCACATGAAATCCTTCAAACAACTGAAAACAGGTTACAGTTCATGTTAACCACTCAAAACCTGAAGGAAAAAACTACAATAATTGGCTTCGCTGCAGATATCAGAGGAAATTCGAGGACACTGCATAGCATTACTGAAGAGACCTGAGTAGAAGAATACTGCCATCCTCTGAGGGTGGTTTTCAACCCTTCTACAACACTTCTAAGAAGAAGGAAGACACAAGACAGGGAATAGCTCTCTACGGATACCTGAAAGCTAATCAAGGTTGGGAAGATGGGGGAATAAATGATGACTCAATCCAAAGACGGCCGAGAGAAGGAGAAGCTGAGTTCAGTGTACACTCCACTGAAAAAGAAGTGAAGAAGGGTGCTAGAAAAGACAAAACCGAATTCTACGACACACTGGCAACTGTAGCAAAACAGACTACAGGTAAAAGAGACCTCAAGACATATTTATCAGATAGCGAGGTCTTTATCCGGGAAGAGATCGGTCAAGAGAGAACCTAATTTCCAAAGAGGAGAGAGATACTACAAAAGACACCTTCATCAAAGTCATCACGATAAAGCCGGACACCAGGAAAACCGGTGTAGAAGAATACTGTAACTCTCTGAAAGCGATGATAAAGGAAACCTATACCGCCATCTTAGGAAGGAAAAAAAGGCAAGACAAAGAACAGCTCTCTACTGACACCAGGAAGCCACTGCACTCTAAACTCCAGGGAACTATAGGCATATAAGGCAACATTCATTTTTATATACCATAGAAATTATACATACAAATATTTTATTGAGTGTAACTCAGACATCCCTCGATGAATGCAGGAAACAAAAAAACCACCCAAACGAAATGAGACAGACATTTCTGTCCATCTGTCTACCAGTTCAATTTTTGGTAGTAGTTTGACAGTTGAAATTATCGTGTTTTTTTTTTACTATTTGATATGACTTTATATACCAGCTATATACCCTTCTAGCCCACTCGCTCTACACCTTCTCACTAACCACATTCTTTTCCTTCCCTTCGCCACAAACCAACATGCATACACACATACGTGCAGTGAAGCAGTCCTATTCTTACATCAAGTATTTGTACAAGGATTACGTAATAAAATGGAACACTGGCCAACTTTACAATTAGGTGAGTATTATGTATTCCTGTATATTTTTATATTTGTTTTCATTTTACTATACATTTTTCCTCCCCAGAAAGTGTTTTTTTATATCGTCTATAGAGTATGTTTTTTTGATTAGCTGGTCGGCTAATGTGTTTCCTTTGGGCTGTAAATGGAACGTAATAGACCTTTTACAGCCCATCTCCACTTTGTCCAGCTTTCTGCTGTACTCTTCAACAGGCTACACGATTGCGCATAGTCATACTTCTCCACCTTTGACAATTTCCTTCATGTCACCTCTGGACCAAAGTCCAACTCATCATTCCCTATTCGGATTCTACTCAAGGGACTGACACGTGATTTCACACAGAGTACTCCTCAGTTTGCTTTGATACTTTTCCATTCCCTTCTGAATATTTATGGAGAAAAAGGTTCTTGGTTGGAGCGTTTCTTGAGTTTCTTCTTGCTAATTCTTCGCAGCAACAAGCTGGCAGAAGAAGCATCAAAGATAGGAATTCAAGTGAACATAGATAAGACAGAGGTGATGAAGATTCCTTGACAACACCACCACCACCAACAACAACAACAGACAACAATCAGCCAGCATAAATGGAAGCAACCTGAAAGAAACAATCTCCTTTAGCTACCCACTCACCTGGGAAGCATCCTTTCAACTACAGGCAGATGGAACTGACGAGGATATCAAAGCAAGAACCGGAAAAGCAAGACAAGCCTTCATTACTCTCAAGTCTGTGTGGAGATCGACAGCACTCACCATCAAAAATAACATCCGGATTTTCAACTCCAATGTGAAGTCAGTCCTACTCGCTATACGGATCAGAGACTTGGCGCGTCATAACGAGTATCTCAAACAAACTTCAGACCTTCATTAACAGCTGTCCGCGCTCAATACTCAAGATCAGATGGCCAGAAAAGATCAGCAACAGAGATCTCTGGGAGCGGACCTACCAGGAACCGACTGTTCGATAAATGTACAGGAAGTAATGGAGATGGATTGACTGGCCATACTCTGAGGAAACCATCAAGTGACATCACTAGACAAGCCATCGGTCGAGTGGGACCCGAATGGGAAGCGGTGAGTTGGTCGTCAGTGCGAGGATGGAGGGATATGGAGGAGGTGATGTGAAGAGGAGATGAAATCATGTGAGCAGACTTGGAGCGGGGTGATAAAGTTAGCATAAAACAGAAGGCGATGGAGATGCGCAGTTGAAGCCCTATGCTCCTCTAGGAATTAAAGAATGTAATAATAATTCTTTGCGAGGGCGGCTGTTGATAAAAGACAGCAGCAGTCCGTTGGAAAATGCTTTCTGTGACTCGAATGCCTAGGAACTTAACCTTAATTTCCTATTATCTGCGAAGACGCTCTGAATCGAAATTTATACTAGTTACGATTATCGACTTTAGCTCCAAAAGACAAGGACCAATAAGAAATTGTATTGCTTTGCAGTTAAAATCAATATTCTGTAGAAAGTCTATAAACAAATATTTTACAGGGAATGTATTGTACTATTATTCGTATTCCTTCGTTTTCTTCCAACCTGTACACGATGGAATCATTTGCGACTTCGACTTGTCCGCCAATGGCGACCGAGGTCAATGTTCAAACGTTCACTGTTCACATTCATTTACACTCCCCTGCAAAAAAGTGTCTATCCTTTTATTCCATCATAGTGATAACCTTGAAATGAACTGCCAACACAGGAACCTGAGCCGACAGGGACTAGGCTAAAATGGAAAAACAAGGCAGAAAAGCCCAACACACAACAAGCATACTACATTATGCCAGTAGGCCTCCTTGACGTGTAGGATCTTCCTCAGTGATTGAAACTTTCCTTCGCTCTCTCTTTCAGATTTCTCCCATTCATGCTGAATATTGTCTGTTGTTGTTACTGTCACTGTTGGTGTTGGCCAGGAATCTTGATCACCTCTGTTTTATCTATGTTCACCTGAAGGCCTATCTTTGATGCTCGCCTTTTCTGCCAACTTGTGGCTTTTCACTTGCATATCTTCCAGTGTTTGTGGAAAATCAGACATATAACATCATTGGTAAAATCCAAATCCTCCAAGTTTTTTGTCTGGGTTCATTTTATGCCTGTTTCCTGACTGCCTTCTGTCTGTTGCATTATGCAGTCTACCACAATCAAGAAAATCATTGAAGGTAGTAGGCAGCCAGCTTATCTTACTCCCGTCTTCACTTTGAAGAATTCCGTGAGTTTCCTATTTTGGATTACATGGCACGCAACATTGTCACAAAACTGTTGGATGAGGTGTATAATTGTTGGCGTCTCGTAGTAGTAGAGAAGTATTTACCAAATCACCCTTCGATTGACGCTGTTGAAAGCTTTTTCAAAGTCAATGAAGTTGATATATATTCACAGCTAGTTAACGGGAGTGAGGCAAGGCTGTCTACTATCACCAATGATCTTCCTGATTGCAATTGATTGGATAATGCGACAGACAACGGCAACCAACGAGGGAACAGGCATAAAATGGACTGACACAAAAGACTTGGAGGATCTGGATTTCGCCGATGATATATGTCTGATTTCCCATAAACTGGAAGATATGCAAGTGAAAAGTAACAAGTTGGCAGAAGAAGCATCAAAGATGGGACTTCACGTGAACATAGACAAAACAGAGATGATGAAGATTCCTAGCCAACAGCAACAACAACAGACAACAATCAGCATAAGTGGGAAGAACCTGAAAGAAACAACCTCCTTCACCTACCTGGGAAGCATCGTCTCAACTACTGGCGGAACTGACGAGGACATCAAAGCCAGAATCGGAAAAGCAAGACAAGCTTCCATTACTTTCAAGTCTTTGTGGAGGTCAACAGCATTCAGCATCAGAAATAAGATCCGGATTTTCAACTCCAATGTGAAGTCAGTGCCACTTACTATACGGATCAGAGACTTGGCGAGTCATAAAGAGCATCTCAAACAAACTACAAACCTTCATTAACAGCTGTCTCCGCTCAATACTCAAGATCAGATGGCCGGAAAAGATCAGCAACAGGGATCTCTGGGAGCGAACCAATCAGGAACCGATTGTGAAACAAATAGGCAGAAAGAAATGGAGATGGATTGGCCATACGCTGAGGAAATCATCAAGTGACATCACTAGACAAGCCCTCGAGTGGAACCCGAAAGGGAGGCGGCGAGTTGGTCGTTAGTGTATGGGTGACTTGGAGGAGGTCATGCGAGGAGGAGATGAAAGCATGTGGACATACCTGGAGCAGGGTGAAAAAGTTGTCAGAAAACCGAAGTCAATGGAGGTGCGCAGCTGAAGCCCTATGTTCCTCTAGGAATTAAAGGATATAATAATAATAATAATAACATTAACCAAACTAACTCAACAGTTTTCAAGGGTTTGTTTGTTTCAAGTTTGACCACGGATTGATGTCAGTTAGAGAATTATTGGAAACCAATGAGAAAGTACTAGACAGCTGTCTCTACCTGGTTAAGGATTCATCAGCAATACGAACCCATTAGAGTTCGAAAACAGAACCTTTAGATTTGCGGACCATTCAGTCTCTGGGAACCTGGGTTCTAGTCTCTGCGGGATTGTATCACTGAAGAGTCACAGAAAAGGGCGAAAGGCTATCAAACTTCTAATAAACCAAACCTCTACAAACAAACTGCTGAAAATTAATCTGATGTGTTGCTAATGGATGGCTACAGGACCAGTTTGACTGGAGTTCTGGTAAGACGTAGTGACCACTGACGTCCACCCTACCGAGTGTTACGATGAAGACTCACCGGAAACGCTGGTTGGTAGATGGAATTCATATGCCCGTCATTGAGGAGCTGGGTCCCAGTGGCTGAATCGTTTACGAGTTTGACTTGTAAACGGGAGGTTGTTGCCTTGAACTCCAGCAGGGATGTACTTCTGAAGAGTTCTAGACTAGGACGAGTCAGCTATCCGGTACTCCTCAGCTTTCAATGGTTCTCTAACTAACATCATTCCGTGATCAAACTTTTAAATTCATAGTAGCAACATTTCTCCTTTCCTCAATTTTTTACCTGAAATTTAGCCGATTACTGATTGAAGTCAACAAGTAGTAAAAGATGCTTTTTGAAATAACTGAAACTGGCATTTGACATTTATGTAATCAAGTGTTAGTTTGTAGAGACTTGATTGGTTACAGGATTTCATCATTAGCTGACATTGGTTAGAGAACCATTGGAAAGCCGACTGAGAGTACTGCACAGCTGTTTCGTCGTTGTTTGGGACGCTTCATAAGTACGCACCCACCGGGATTCAAACCCAATACCTTCTGATTACAAGGCGAGCTCAAAGACCATTAAGCCACTGGGACCCGATCCAATGGTCAGCCCATCAATTCTGACATGTGCCAATTCGCTACCACTAGCCAATGTCTTCTGTGACGAGTAATTGTCCTCGCACCCTACTGGTCACGACTTCTCACTAGAATCCCAGGTAACCCAGGCGCAGTGTGGTGTGGTACAGTCCCAATACCCACTGCTGACTGGTAGTGAATCTACCTTGATTATATTTCAGTTTTTAAGGACTATCTCATCCACATGAATAATGATAACGACGCCGCTATAAACTAAAACAAAGGCACAACATAACCTCTCGAACTGACTTTCTGCTTCAACAGGCAAGGTAAGAATAGGTAAGAACTCCGCTAGACGTGTATTTCTAAACACTCCTAAGCGACCAGGAAAAAGAAGTGGGCTGTCCAATAATCCCAAAATTGTTCATCAACATGCGCACACACACAGTATACCTTCGAAGAACAAATCCAAGGGTTACATAGTTAACATTCCTTTTAGATAAAAATTCTAATTTTTACCCAGAATATGGTAAAATCTGTATATATTGGATGTCTGCACTGAGTCCTGGGTTACAAGCCCTTCATCGCAGTCGGAACCCAAGAGAATAATAAAAATAATAATAATAATAAAGTATATGTGAGACTACTGGACAGCTTTTCTGCTCCAGTTTGAGACTCTTCAGCAACGTGAAACACCGGTGGGGTCACTTGGATCCCAATCCCGGGGGCTGAATAGCCCATGAGCGCTCATTTTGTAACTGGAAGGTGGTAAGTTTGAACCTGGGCAGACGCTTGCGTATTGCTGAAAATTCACAAACTAGGTTGACATAACAGTTGTCCATCACTCCCTGTGCTGGGGTTTTCCAATGATTATCGTCAACTGGTGATCAAACCTGTGACTACCAATGAGATCTCTGTAGAACAACACTTGATAGCATCACCTCATAATCACATAAGAACCTATTGAATGTCAAATAATAATAATAATAATGCTAATATGTTATGAAAGTTTGTTCATTTCTTTTCTTTTCCCTTTTTTAGGTGATCTCTTCGACCTTTTACTGCCAATGTTGGGAATATATCAAGAATATGTACGTAATCACCATTACTCCCTACAAGTATTAGCTGAGTACAAACAACGTCCAGAGTTTACGCATATGCTTAAGCGTTTAGAAGAGAAACCACTGTGTGAAGGTAGATCAATTGAATCATTTCTTACCTATCCAATGCATCAAGTAAGCAATATATATATATGATTGAGAATATTTACACCTCAGGTGGATGATTTTGACGTGGTTGTGTGCCTTTGAGCTGGATGGTTTATTTCCAAAGCTGTTCATTGCCCTACTGAGCAACACCTCCAGTGCATACTTCAATTTGGTGAAGTGAACTTTTAGATTTCTCCTGGTGACGTTGAGCGTGATTGGTTGATTTTGTGTTTCAACACACCTTCTAGGCTACTACATGTATTCGAACTGATTGTTCCTATGACTTGAACTCTGACCCTTAGTGTGTGAGCTTTCCTCCTTATAGAGGCTTCTAAAAATTCTCTAGTATTCTTGTTGTTGTTTCCTCTGTCTAATATTTGAACGTTGTCCCAGTCTAACTGATGTCTGTGGTTGTCTGTATGCAGTGAGGCAATATGAGGGATGGGATGTCATGTGGACGTACCCTTCGTCTTTGTATCCATGAACAAAAGCTAGTCGTCAAAAGACATAACATAAACTCCCTCATATCACTACATACGAACAACCACAGACATCATTTCGACTGAAGCGACCAGCGTTCAAATATTAGACAGAGGAAACAACAAGTATGCTAGAGAATTTTTAGAAGCCTGCCTGGTATTCCAGTGAATCATCAATCAATAGACACATCGAAATAGACAAAATTTATCAACCGATAAGAAGGCAACTTCACGCACACAGGGTCAAAGCTCAAGTCAAAGAAACAATCAGTTCCTTCAATACAAGTAGCCTAGAAGGTGTGAAAACACACAAAAACAACCAATCACGTCCAAGGTGACTCACCAGGAGAGATGATTGATAAACTTGCGAGGAAATCTAAAAGCTCACTTCATCGAATTGAAGTATGCTCTGAAGATGTTGCCGAGTAGGTCAATGAAAGCTCTGCAAATAAACCATCCAATTCGGAGAACGCAACTACATCATAAACTATATATATATTACGTAATCATACAGCTAATATAAACACTTTTTTGCTGTTATAACGGTTAATCGGTTGTCACCAATGTCATGTGTCTGATTCTTGATATTGTTCCAGACTGGATTCTCTCAGTCAAATGTGGTCACCGGTCTAGGCGGCTAGTGATTGGAATGAACTATAAATTATTATTAGATAGTTGGATGCAGTCGGTAGGAAGCTGTGGGTCTAAACTTCGTGCTTGTTTGTACTCGTCAGTAAGATGTGACATTCACACTGGTATCACCCAGTGCTGCAGTCAGAGATCTTATTACTATTATTATTTCCTTGGGTTCTCAGTGGAATAAAAGTCTTCGAAGGAATATCACTTAACACTTCTCTTTGCGGTCCTCTTCATATGGCTGTACGATTGCCTATGAACTTTAGTCGCCCCCACATCACAAGATATCTTCCATGTCACCTTTCAGAAAATCTCCCCATTTTGTGTTCTACCCAACTCCATTTTCTTTGGAATATATATTGGTTGGTTCTTTCCAATAGTTTCTTGGTCAAAAGTCCTTCTCATCAACCACCTGATTTTCAGTGTGGAGACAGCGAAGGAAGCTGTTGATAAAAAATCCATAATGAGAAGGTAGAAGACGGAGACTTGAGAAAGGAATGCCTGCTTTTGGAAACCGGTATCTCTATACAGCCAAATTGTGTACACCTAATCTCCGACGTCGCACCATTTGCACTGGACTGCATGTTGTTGTTCTTTGTGCTCATTTCACGTCTGCCATGTCTCCCTGCAAAGCTCTATTATTCGTCTTCACTGAAATCAAATGTATCTTCTTATTATTTAATGTTTTTTATGCCGATGAACCTCTCTTTATATGTATATACTACTGATAATTATTACCGGTAGAAATAACCACAAAAGTAGACTGTTGAAAAGGCTTTTCTTGACACAATGCCAAGTTTATAACCCATATAGAAGAACTGACTAATCTGGCACTGATGTTAAAAATCCGAATTTTGTTCTTCATTTGGAGTGAGTAGAGAAGATTTCTGAACTAATTTTAGAGTGTTGGATGTTAGCTTTGGCTTTCCGATTGTGGTTCCGACACGCTTATTCGTACCACCTGCATGTGAATAAAATGATGGTACCTAGATAACTGGAAGAAGCGGTCTCTTTCAAATTTCTTACGCTGATGGTGACCGATGCTTCCTTCTGTTGGTTGGTTATATTCATCACCTCAATCTTTTGTAGGCTCAACTGAAGTCCTGTATTCCCAGACTGCTTCTTCTGCCACTTTGCTAGTTTCCGCCTGTAGATCTTCAAGTTTGTGGGACATGAGAGAGAGAGAGAGAAATCATCAACCGTGAAATCCAGATCTTCCAGTTTCTTCGTATTGATCTAAGGTATTCCTCTTTTCTTGTTCGTTAAATGTGACCTTCCACGTGACCCAATTCACCACAGTTAGGAATATCATTAGTGATAACAGGCAGAGACGTTATCAAAAAGGTATTCATTCTTGAGACTGACCTGCTGCAAGACTGTAAATGACACTTTGAAGACATACTGTTTATCCTGTGTATATTCTGTGGAGTGTGCTTTCTCTTTGGACCCTTCTTATCCTCATTCTAGACATTGATTACAGTGGGAGTAAACGCGGCACAGGATGATATTCACTACTAACTGTTGACAGTGTTGGGGTATGACTCTAAAACTCCAGTAACCAGATATTTGCCAAAATCTAGGGATTGATTACTTGTTCCCCACTTGATTGGCAATCAAAGGCTATGAGCTCTGGCCTCCCACCTTCTAGAATGAAAGAAACATCTTCCCTTTGGAGCATTTGTGGCTGCCTTTATTCATTAGAGCGTCACAAGCTGTGGCACACTTGAGAAAAACGTTTTGTTCAAGACGCGAAAGTTTAGCGTCAACTAGTGCCAGTGAAGTACCTGGTTTAAATATCATTGGTTGTGAAACGGGAGTAGTGGCATCTTAGACTCTGGACACTGGTGAGTTTTTACAGGCAGATGCTGATTAACGACGGTGTCTGCGGTGAGTTTTTGAGAATTGCCGCTGTGTAAGTTACTGGCTAAAACCAGCTTTGTGTCCAATATTACTTAGGTCTTGGAATTAATGTTGCTTATACGAACAGAGTTTGATGTAATGCTGAACACTACGACGCCTGCAAGAGAATGGAGGTTTCCCCTATGGGTGTCCATTGATATTGCTTGAGTAACTAGAACGATAGACATTTGAAGTAGAACCACGGGGTGTGGAGCAATCAGCTGATGCAAAGATTTTGATAGGTCTAGCGAACTCCACTGATTTCAGAATTACTCTGGCGTCTAGTGTGAACTAAACTCGTTGTTCCAGAATTTTTTCCAAACGTTTCGACGAACCCATACAAAATCTTGCAGGATCTGGACATCGCCAATGGTTAATATCTGATTTCTCACAAAGTGGAAGATATGCAAGTGAAAAGCAACAAGTTGGCAAAAGATGCATCAAAGATAGGACTTCAGGTGAACGGGGAGAAAACAGAGGTGGTGAACATTCCTGGCCAACAACAACAGACAACAAGCAGCCGGCATAAATGGGAGGAACCTGAAAGAAACAACATCCTTCACCTACCTGGGAAGCATCGTTTCAACTACAGGCGGACGGAACTGACGAGGATTATTATTATTATTATATAAGCTTTATTCCAAATCAGTACTTGTGATACAGAATGGAATTCTCAGCATTTTACTACAATATTGCATCCAGTTTTTACATTAACAATAAATAAAGTTCTACATAGATTAAAGATTATCTCAACAACATATTAGTATGTCGGTAGCAAAGCCAAAATTAAAATGTTTGAAGGTGTTACAAAAGTAGATACTACTAGCATATTTACTGGCGTAAGCGATAGCAAAATGGTCGAGATATACAGAGTGTAAAAGAACAACAAGAATGTTTTAACTAGAGTTTGCAAGGAAGAGAAAAACAAAACAGCACTTAACAAAAATAAAGACAAAAAAGGTAGAGAGAATGGAAAAGAGAGAAAACGTTGTACCCATAAATGATGTGAGTTGGAAAGACGAGATTCATTGGTTCTAGTGACTATTTAATAAGTTAAAGGTTTCATGCCTGATGCATTCTTTATCACACAGAACACGGGCTAGGTAGGGTATGGATGAGTTTTTGTACTTACTAGTGCGGGCATATAGTTTCCTATATAGACTTCTTGTTTTCCCTGAAGAGATACATGGGGAGAGTTGTGAGTGTAGAGGGTGTTGTGAGTCAGATAAAATGGACTTCGCCCATTTTTCACATGAGTCCATGTGCCTGTCCACCAGAATGTTAACAAGCTGGCTAAGTGGTAAACTGCTTACCCTGCTGACAACCTTTAACATCCTACGTAATAAGGTATAGTCTTTCTTCAATAGCCCAGGAAAGACTAAGGGGGAGCAATAGAGAATTATAGGCAGAATACGGGAGTTAACAAATTGTAGTAGTAAGGGTTGGGTTACACCAGAATGTCTTAACTTCTTGATGTAGAAGGTAAGACGGTATATTTTCTTGGAAATCGTCAAGATATGAGACGACCAGGAAAGATCAGAAGATAGAGTGACGCCTAGGTATTTAATTTCCGACTTAGTTTCTATTTCAGTGCCATCTATGTTGCACACCTCGTGAGCGCTAACCAGTTTGTTTAGGTCAGATTTATGCCTAAAGGTGAAATTAACTGTTTGGCATTTGGAGGGGTTTAAGGTTAGACCGTTTTCCTTGGACCATTGGCTAATTTCTGATAAGAAGCCATTTAGTTTAGAGCAGTCATTTTGACATTTGACAGGTAAAGATACAGTTAGGTCATCAGCATATTTGACAAAGTTAATATCATTTGAAGACGGTAGGTCATGAAGGAAGAATGAAAAGAGAAGTGGGGATATCAAAGCGAGGATCGGGAAAGCAAGACAAGCTTTCACTACTCTCAAGTCTGTGTGGAGGTCGACAGCACTCAGCATCAAAAATAAGATCCGGATTTTCAACTCCAATATAAAGTCAGTCCTACTCGCTATACGGATCAGAGACTTGGCGCGTCATTAAGAGCGCATCAAAAAAACTACAGACCTTAATAGCTGTCTTCGCTCAAGATCAGATGGCTGGCCATACTCTAAGGAAGCCATCAAGTGACATCACACGATAGGCCGTCACTCGAATGGAACCCTAAAGGGAAGCGGCGAGTTGGTCATCATTGTATGGGTGACTGTGTGGATGTCAGGTGAAGAGGAAGTGATATCAACTGTGGCAGAAAACCGAACGCAATGGAGACGCGCGACTGAAGTCCTACGTTCCACTAGGAATTAAAGGAAATAATGATAATAATTTTGACGGAAAAAATGCAGGAATTTTATATAGGTAAGATGTTGGACATACCATAGAATTCCCAAAAGCCTAATGCTTGAATCGATCAACATTTAACTGACATGTTGATTTGCATATAAAATGTATTCATGAATAAAATAAAAGTCACAGGGCAAAACGGTTCAACTACCAGGTCATCGAAACGATAATTCCCAATGCAGGTGACCATAGGGATAAGAAAATTCGATATTACGAAAAATTGTAATTATAAATAGGCGAAAAATGAGGCCAAATAATGCAAGATAAAAAGTTGTATGAGCGCATTCTTATAATGTTATCCATATACTACTGACTGTCTGAGATGACTAGTATTTATATACCACACTCATATCAATCAGTGGTGCTTGATAGCCAAGCAGGTGTACGTTAACTCTACACAGGACGGTTGTTTCTCCCACTTGAGGCTAAGGTTCTCATCAGTAAGCTAGCAATTTACAGTTTACACAGTTTGAGAGATCGGCTGGTTCCAACTGATACTACTGTCTGAGATGAGCCAATCTGGTTATACTGCTGTTGATGAACTCAGTTCGAAACGACAGATACAGTGATCCAGGGTTTGAACCACCTCGAGTTGGCTGGTTGGCAAGCACTACTAGTTGATATGAGTTGTGTGCAACTAATACTCATCCGTCCTATTCAATTAGTAGTATATGGGTAGTTTTGTGAAAATTATTTTTGCTTTCTTATCATTACCACTTATTGTGATAGCAATAACTTGGTTTTCAAAAGAAACTACGGTGAGATTTCACCCTTGAAACTGTGTCTAAATTGCAAATTTTGAATTCCCTCTATGTACCACTGTAACAACAGAAGACAAGGGCCAGGCAACAGATCGTTTTATTATGAAAATCAACACGTATTGATACATATTTCACATACATTATTATAGACAAGCGCAGTCATCTGATTGGTTGTTTATCAGAAATTAGGCAGACAAACGCAGGCTTCTGATTGGTTGTTTCGGGATTCCTTGACAAATAGAGTTCTCTATCTGCGAATCATATTTTGCCACGTTAACTTTGCTGTGATTGGTTGTTGACTCAGCCTTGTTCATATTTTCTCACGGCCCATATTAACGTAGGTTAGTGTCAACCAATCGGCTAGCAGCCTGCTTTCACCACACCACTTCTAGTTATACCAAATAAACATGTCTAAAGTGGAAATGTATTTCACTACATTGTCCGAATCTCTTGTTCTCACATTAAAAAAAAACCTCGCTTGAGGATCAATGACAGTCTTAACAGCTCGTCGTAAGAGAGAGTTATTTCATTCTGGAAGAACTTTAAAAACTAAATCACTTCATTGTGAATTTAGTGCTGAAGATGTTCCCTGGATAGATACTAAGACTTTCACAGTCAAGTCTTATTATTATTCCCTTGCGATCCGGGTGGAACATAGGAGGACTTCAACAACACATCTTCAATTTATTCTCTTTTCCGCCGTCCTCTCCATCTGATTAGCTCCATGATTAATCATCATCTCTCATTTCCTCCTCCTCCTCCTCCTCACCTTACGATCTCCTCCATATCACCCTAGCACCGATGACTCACTCGTCGCTTCCCATTCGGGTTCCACTGGACCGATGGCTGGCATTGAGCTCGACGTCATTCGATAGCCACCTAAATGAGTGCTCAGTGTATATCCATTTTTTTTTCTTGGTTAGTTTGTTTACCAGAGTTTGTTATTGCTTATTCTTTCCGGCCAGCTGGTTGGGCGGCCACTTGATCTACAGCATGGAGCCAGCCATCTAAGTGGGCTACTGAGTTAGGCGGAAGGAAGACAATTTCCAAACTAGTTTCAGGTTGATGAAGGCGTATCTTACCTTTCCGATTATGTCTGGCTAACTTTGAAATCTTCGTCCATTTTGATTGCCTGTAGTTGAAACCACGCTCCCTAGATAAACTGAAAGAAGAGTAATTTCATTCCAGTGTCTCCCTCTGATGATAATGATTGGTGCTGGTTGTTGTTGTTGTTGTTGTTATTGTCAGTGCTGTTGAAGACGTTTTCAAAGTCGATGATGTTAAGGTAAAGGTTCGATTGCAATTCTGTACTTTGTTTGATGATGATGATGATGCGTGTAGTTACTACTTGACTGACTACTTGTGCGTCGGTGGCACAGTGGTTAGGACTCTCGCCGACCATTCACATGGTCCGGGGTTCGAGCCCACGCCGACGCACACCTGATATCTATGGTCGGCCTGCAAATTTTGGGCTACCGATATCCACGCTGAAAATTCCACACTTGTACCAAAAATACGGTGTGGAGTCAAGCTGTAATCAAAAAAGAAAATAATAATAAAAAAAATGAAAATAAAATAAAAAAAAATATGATATATGTGTATAGTTCTTCTTTATTATTACCATTATTGTTTTTTTTTTTGATCTATTCAGATTCCACGTTACATTATCACACTGCATGAACTTCTTGCACATACACCTTATGATCATGTTGACAGAAAAAAATTGGAGTTTGCTACATCAAAACTTGAACAAATTTCACATGTGAGTATGAGTTCTATTTGTATAATTATTAATTATTATGAATACAGAATGTGTCATTCGTTATGGATAAAATTTTATTTTGATAAGTCACACTGTGTGTTATACAGTAGTGATATTAACTGACGTGACCACGTTTCGAGCACAAATTATTGCCACTCAATAATCATATCAAGTTACTCACTCACACAACTTTCTGGCTTCATTTATATACATGTGTGGAATTGATGATTAGATATTTAAATAAAAATCAATATAGGATAATGTACATTCAGAAATAATAATAATAACATGAGTGTTATCGATCAATTACAATCAGATGGGAAATAAGACGAGTGTTTTTATAGTCATAATAAATAAATAACTTGTTTGAATGTTGTGATGATGTACGTGAATTGAAATAGAATTTTGAGATTATTTATTATCCTCCTCTGATTTGACTGACTGACTGACTGACTGGTGGTAATAATATCTTCCATACACATCTCTGGTATTTGCATTGAGTCATTTCTGTTGCATATGTTGTGTTGGGTGTAGACTCGATGTACCAGGCAGGATTCAGTAATCAGTCTCTCTCGCTCTCCACCTACATAGATTACTTCATAGAATTTTAACCCTCTCCCACCATGTTATTGTGTGGTTGTGTGTTAATGTATGTAGTGCAATTACTAAGCATTTTTCTAAATAACTTGTCTTCTTGGAGTCAGTCATTCTTACCTTAGCTAAACTCTTATGTTCCGACAATCTGACTACCCCCGCCCGATCTACTAGTGTGACCTATGTAGTTGACCTCATTTGCAGTCATTATAGGGTATTTTGTAAATTCGATTATTTTGTTTAATTGTATCTACCGGGTCTTTGAATGCCACTCTAATTCCTGCTTTATTGAGAATCCTGCGTAGGGTCTCAGATGTCCCCTCTTTATATGGTATAACTGTAGATGACTTATATTCTCTCTTATTTATGTTATCATTATTAGTTTCACCATTATTTTTATTTTGCTTTTGGCCTTTTCTGATCTTTCTAATGAATTTTATAGGATAGTTAGTTATTTAACACCAAAACCTCTTCTATCTGTTTTATTTCATCATTTAGGTCTTTGTTGTGCTACTTAGTGCTACTGTTCGGTTTGCTAGACATTTCACTAAGCCTGCCTTCATGGACAGTTAACGGATGAGATGAATTAAAGTCTAAATATCTATTAGAATGTGTTAGTTTTCTATAAATGCTAGTATGTAGTTTGCCTTCTTCTATACATATATTGTTAAGGGTAGAGTCGCCAAATAGATTTACCGATGGAGCATCAAAATGAATGTAGGACTTTGCACAAAATTACACCCGTTGAAATTTTCTCAAGAACGGCAACCAAACAGCTGAAATTTCCATGCCTTTCTGACTCAAAGCGAAAGTCACTCCCCCAGTCTGATCCTATGTCAGTTAACAGTGCTTGTTTGCATGAATCAAGTTTATTCTGAACTTAGAGTGTCTTCGAAAGTTCTTGATATGGGATTCCCTGGACAGAGTTTCAGAGCCCATCTTGTTGGAAATGCTCCACTTCATTCTAAGGTACTTCTTACAGTTGAACGTCTGTTAGCTGATTTTATTCTACACAACTTGTCTTGTACTTAAAACCTACATTGCCTGTATTATAGCTGTCTAATGGCAATTTTCAGGTCATTTTGAGTTTTTGATATAATTATTAGATGAACAGAACCACAAGTAGACTAAAGGAAGAATAATTGTCTTTTTGCTGACTTTGGAGCATTTTGTCACTGTAAGCTAGTCTCAAGGAAGTTTCAGACAGCTGTTATACACTAAGACGCAAAAATTGGTTCTCGATGTGTTTTTAAACCACAAGAAGTCGGGCGTAGTCGCTACACTATTCAACTGCATTATGTTCAGTAAAAGTAGGAATTCATGTGTCAGTTTACAAGGATCTGATTGGTGGTCACAGGGTTTCATCATAGGCTGATATCGGTCAGAGAACCATCAGAAACAACCAAAGGGTAGTGGAAAGTTCTTTCCTCCTAGACTCTTAGGTCTCTTCAGGAGTTTGGAGTCACAGCTGGGCTTAAATACAGGATCTTCCGGTTACAAAGCCAGCGCTTAGACCATTAAGCCAATGGGGTCCGTTCAGATGGCCAGTTCATGAATTCCGAATTCTGCCAGTTCACAATACAAAGCTTGTGACACTAGCCACTCACATCCATGACGAGTGTCTGTCCTGACACTCGACCTGCTGTATTACACTAGTCACGACTTCTCACTTCTCGATTCTACGAGTTCACCTTGCAACCGGAAGGTTTTGGGTTTGAGTCTCTGTGGTGGATGCATAATGCTGAAGAATCCAAAGAGACTAGGACCTATGTCACAACATGATAAAATCCTGTAACTAAAAATGGGGGTTGTTACATATAATTTTAAACACTTGATGTATTTTAATTGAATTTTAGATTTTCCCGTCGATTGATTAAAATTAATATGACTCGTCGCACAATAGGTGGAGTGGCTTCCGTGGCCCAAGTGGTCTAGTGGACTAAGCTTTGGCATTTGAAACTATGGGTACGGGGTTCGAGCCTCACTGGGAACATCATCACTCACTGCGGAATACAGTTACATCTAGTTGGCTGACGAGTCACAAATAGGACGAAATGTGCATCCTGACTTGATTACGCTGCTAGTCACCATCCACTCGTCACTCTGCATCAACAACAAAATTCGGTCGGATGTTCAATACAAACGTCAAGTCAGTCAGTTCTTCTATACAGATCAGAAACTTGGCGGCGGGTCACAAAGAATATTTCCAACAGCCTGTTGCAGACCTTCATCAACAACAACTGTCTTCGCTGGCTCTATACTGAAGATCAGATGGCCGGGCCGGAAAGAATCATCAACAAGGAACTATGGGAACAAACAAAACAAGAACCAATCACCAACCAACAAATATGCAGGAGAAAGTGAAGAGATGGATTGGATACTCGTGGCTGAGGAGGCCGCTGAGGGACATCGCGCGCGCGTCAGACCATTAATCGAGTGGAACTCGAAGGGGAAGCGGCGAGTGGGACGTAGGTGTAAGAGTGACATGGAGAAGATCGTGTGAAGACGAGTTGAAACAGTATGGACTAACTAACATGGATGCAGGTGAAAAGTACAGCAAAAGGAAGACGGAAGCAATTGGAGACGTGCAGTGAAGCCCTATGTTCCACTAGGAACCCAAAGGAACAATAATATAATAATAATAATGTTTGTCTGAACAAAATCACATAAAATCAAGGCCTTTAAGCCAGAACACTTAACTGTCATATCAAATAAGTCAGCTTTTGTGTTTATGCCTACACAGACGTCTTTTAATTGTCTGGAGACATTATTGATTAGCTGTCTAATAATAGTAGCAGTAGCATTAGTAACAATCTGGACACTAGGCGTCATCTTCGTTTGTTCTTTTAGGAATGGTTTTTGTCATCAATATTTCTATTGCCTGGAATTACATCATTTTGCTATTTTGTTACTTCATTTAAACAAAAATAAGCCCAGTTAAAATAAACTACTCACATTCATTATAAGTACTTTTTATCAAAAAATTGTCACAAATGATTACCTATTAAGATAAACGAATGTGAATAGGCGTCAGGTCTAAATAGGTAGGTAGGTAGGTAGATAGATAGATAGACAGACAGACGGAAAGACAGGGTTGTAGGATTCTAGGACAGTAGTGTTAATTGCACCAGTAGATAAAGTTAAAAATTGAAATGGTCTGCTGATAATAACCCTAACCAGGCAGCTCAAATATTCATGGAGTATAGGAATGAATTAGTCCATAGTTAATCTTGAAGTCGTATTATACTGACTACTTATTAACTTAAGGGTTTCGTTGTCTTCTCTGAGGAGTTGGTTGATTTAATTTTCAGGCTTTCGGTATCCTTCCTTCTTCTTGACAACATCATTTCAGTGCAGGTTTTGTGTATGAAACGAACTTATTTGGATTTTTTTCTCCATGATTGATGATATAACTGCACAAGAACCTGACAATTTCCATTGCAGTGATTGGTTGTTCATTTACATCTATACTGATCATTTTTTTAATGATGCCTCATATGTTAGTATATTTGATCCATAGTAATTAATGAGTTTTTCAATCACTGACTCATTTGACTGCGGACCAGGCCTCTAGAAATTCTTTGACTGCATTTCTGGTCTTTCCTCTGTTTTCAAAATTTCAACAATCTTCCAATCAAATTGGTTCCCATAATTATCTACATGGATAGATTTGACAAAGCTGCCTATTATCACCCACGATTATTATTATTATTATTATATCCTTTAATTCCTAGAGGAACATAGAGCTTGAGCTGCACGTATCCAATCTGTTGGGTTCTCTGCTAAAGTTTTCTCCTGGCTCCAAGCCTTCCCACAAGCTTTCATCTCCTATTCACATGACCTCCTCCGAGTCACCCATACACCGACGACCATCTCGCTGCTTCCCTTTCGAGTTCCACTCAAGCAATGGCTTGTCTAGTGATCCCACTTGATGGTTTCCTCAGCGTATGGCCAGTCCATCTACATGCCTTCCTGCCTATTTGTTTCACAATCGGTTCCTGGTTGGTTCACTCATTGCCAGAGATCCCTGTTGCTGATCTTTTCTGGCCGGCCATCTGATCTTGAGCAGTATTGAACGAAGACAACTGTTAATGAAGGTCTGTACTTTGTTTCAGGTGCTCTTTATGACGCGCCAAGTCTCTGATCTGTATAGCAAGTAGCACTGACCTCACAGTGGAGTTGGAAATCCAGATTTTATTTTCATTTTCATGCTAAGCACTGTTTATCTCCACACAGACTTACTAGAGATTAATGAAAGCTTGTCTTACTTTCCTGATCCTTGCTGCTTTATTATCCTCATCAGTACCGTCCGCCTGTAGTTGAAACGATGCTTCCAAGGTCGGTAGGTAAAGGATGTTGTTTCTTTCAGGTTCATCCCATTTATGCTGATTGTTGTATGTGGTTGTTGCT